TTATTGCAATTGGCCTCGGTGAAGAAGCCTGTGTCAAAACGTCAATTGATCCAATGCTTTGCAATCTCATGTTTATTAGTGTTGTTCAATAGAGCTAAGGAAGTACCTCCCGTACAAATTAAGCAACACTATCGTTGGTCAACCACGTCAACTAAACGAGAACTGGATCCAATGTATTTCAAGGAATTTTGAATAAAATTGAAAGGGGAAATGAAAGATCGAAGTTAGTCCAACACAAATGCATCAGCTATCCTTCGTTCCAAGTTATAAGAGCGTCTACAGTCGGCTGTAGGATACCAGCAATTCATGGGATTGATGATGATTTAGTTGGAAGAAAAGTTGAAATTGCTTGAGACGATGCACAAGCCCATTCAACGACAACGGCCTATCCTTCTTGTCCCAGGATGGAGAGCCCATGCATGCAGTCCACCACGATTAATTACACAGCATTTACTTTGCCTATTCTCTCTCCTCTAGATTCGATCACGCATTGTAATTGATTTATGGCTAAATCAATTGTCTACTTCTCACTTCCCTTATAAAAGCAAGGAAAGGAAAGGGAAGCCTGTTGTCCTACTGCTGCATTCAATTCTTGTTCCAATAAAATCCCCAGTCAGGACAATTTATCCTACCCCATCAGTCTATTGATATTCATCGGCTGCAACCTTTGAGTGACTTTATTTCAAATGTCATGAAGCAACAAGGCTTTATAATCAAGATTTTCCATCAAGGTTATTGTCCATTGGGACGTCTTGTGGGTTAATTCATAAATGCTTATGCTAGGGGTGGGCTAAACCTGGGCCGAACGATATTGACTTTGCACCTTCGCCATTTTGATTGGTAGAATAGCAATGCGTCGTTGAACAAATCATCACCTGTCACCGAGTCTGTCAATGGCTAATTGAATTAATTAAGAGACTTTGTTGATGAATGTGGACAACCTTGATCATGATGGCGTTTTATTGTTGTAGCAAATCAGGGGTGGTATCCATTCTTGTTCCACCATTTGCTATAGATCTTGCACCATGTTGTAACGCTGTTGGTGTTATGATAGTGGTAACCAATGAGTGGCCATGATGCTATCTACAGCTCAAATAACGTGATTGATATTGATATTAAGATGGATCGAATATTGCGAATGTCGCAAAGAGGTAGC